GTTTTTTCTGTCGCGCCGCGCACGGCGCGTTGCCGCCGTGAAAGAGGGCTCGCCAACAGTTGCCTTCGTCGCCCTGCTGGCGGGCGCCGTCGCGGTCGTCGACTTAGCGCCGCGGGCGGTCGCGGTCGCAGCGGCGGCGCCGTCGGCAGCTGCTGCGCGCGCGAGGTCATGCGCCCAGACCTGCTGCGAGACAAATGGAATCGTCGCCGTCGCCAGGATGGCGCGGTCGGTGGCTGCGGCTGTCGCATTGCTGCTGGTCGCTGTCGTCTCTGTCGCGTCCTTGCTGGAGCTGCCGGCGGCGGTCGCGGCGGCGGCGGCGCCTCCTGCTGCGTCGCGCACGGGGTCTTGTTTTCAGGGTTTACGCATGAGTCCGCAACGTCGTCACTGCTCGCAATTATTCGCACGCGATGTCGCGATCGCAGGAGGCGCGCGCCGCGGTACGCCGCTGGCCGCTGCCGCCGCTCTGCCGTTGGTCGACGGCGCGCGCGTCGCGTTGACGCTGCCCCTGATTTCTGCCGCGACTGCGGCGCTGGCGGCTGCCGCGCGCATCGGGCCTGGCCCCCAGACCTTCTCGAGTGGGTCCGGGGCGGCGTCGCCCGCGCGAAGCGTCGCGAGCTGCGTCGCGCGTGCAGGGCGTCGTCGCCGTCAACGGCGTTCGCGCCGGTCTCGCAAAGCGCCGCCACTGCCATCCTGCGCGGCAGGCCCGCGCGCCGTGCGTTCCTGGCGCAGAAGACGAGATCTGAACCAGGCATCTCGCGCGCGGTGGAGGATCTGGTCGCCGACGGCAGCGCGCGCCTCGAACGCGCGGCGGCGCGGTCTGCAACGCGGCGCCCTGGCGCAGCGCGTCGCCTGCAGACGGCGACAGAGGAGGACGGCGCGCCCTCGGGGAGTTCGCTGCGGGAAACAGCCGGCACGCCTCGCAGGGAGTTCGCGGTCAGCAGTTCCGCCAGACGGCGAGACATCAGCCGCGCGCGCGTCGATGGCGCCCAGCGGGCCGAGGAGATAGAGTGGGCCGCGGGCGCTTGCAGGTGCGCGGGCGGCGCGGGCGGGCAGGGCGGCGCGGTGGGCGCCTCGGAGCCAGGGCCTCGCCCCGCTGGAATGGGCGCGGGGGCCCGCGCGCCCGGGCTGCAGCGACGCACGCGGAGACTCGCCGGACCTGGTTCGACATTGACGTGCAGATTTCGGAGGTGGCGGCGATTGTCTCCGCCGGAGCATCGCCGGCGCGCCGGCGCGCGCCCCCCCCCGGAGCGGCGCGCTCGCGCGGCGCGTTCCGAGCGGACTCTTCGCAGGCGCGCTCACCGAGGGAGGGCCAGCGCGCGGCCGCGCAGGCCCCCCGCGAGATCGCTGCCCAGGTGTTCTACGAGCGGGACGATTTGGACGCATTGAATTCCGCGCCCCCCGCGCGCGCGCGCGCAAAATGGCCGCGGAACACACCTCGACGAGTCGAATAAATGTTAGACGTTTCGCGCATTCCCACCAGCCCATCCAGCGGCCAGATCCACGCGAGTTGAGGCGATCAGAGACGCGCGGGAGCAAAGAGGAGGACGGCCGAATCGCGCGACGGAGGGGGGGAAGGAGAAGGCTGGATGGGCGGGCGAGGGGGCGGGGAGAAGCAGGATGAATAGGACGAGAAGGAGGAGGGGGAGGAGGGGGAGGAGCAGGGCGAGGAGGAGGAGGAGGAGGGGCTAGAGCTCTCTTGGATGCCTCTCGGAGCCTCTTGGGATATCTCTCGGGCACTTCTCGGTGGCCTCCTGGGGCGTCTCGGGGATCTCTCGGCGGTCCTGGGGGTGCTTCGGGGGGGCTTCTCGGGCCGCGCGGAGCCCTCTCGGGGGCCTCCCGGGGGCCTCGGGCATTGGGGCCTCCTGGGATCTTCTGGCGGCCACCTTGGAGGACATCGATCAAAAGCAGGGGGGGGGGGGGGGGGCCTTCAATCGCGGTCGCCCTCCCAAAACGCCAACATGGGGCCAAAACCTTTTTGGAAAACCAATGGTTCCGGCTTCCTCGCCGAGGCCGTCATGGGCGCCCTGACCATTCGCGACCGGCCCCGACCAGGCCCGGGGGAAGGAAGGGGCGGGGGGGGGGGATGGGGGGCGAACCCCTCCTCTGCAGAGGAGAAGAGGGGGGTTGGAAGAGGAAACGCTCTAGACCCTCTTATGCCGTAAAGGGCTAGTAGGTTTCTGGACGCTGGCGGAGCGCCCCCGGAGTTTGCCGGCCGCCCCGGGCAGCGCCCCAGCGGCAATCCGCGCGCGGCGGGGCGATGCCAATTTCATAGCCCCGGTTCGGGCCTCTGCGGCCGAGAGCCGAGCTTAATTCGCGCATGGGATGAGCCGCCTTGGGAACGCGCGCTGGGGCGCGCAGACGGGTTGCTACGGCCTGAACGACAGGCTCGAGCTAGGCGCCCTACTGCAGAGACCACCTCCCGCCCAATTCCCAGAGTTGCGCATGCAACGTCGGCCGTCAGCCGCGCGGGATTGCGCCGCGGTCGATCGCTCCGACGCACTTCCGAAGGGGCGCAGTTCCACGGCCAGTCTTTCTTGGGCGACGCGGGGCTCTCGGAGGCGCTGCGCGACATGCGCCGCGCGCGCGACGGCGCCGAGGGGCGGGCCCCCCCGCGCAGGGCGCGCAGAGGTTCAGGCGCGGGCGATGGAGGCCCGATCGCGCGAGTCGCCAGAGAAGGGGGGGGGGCCGGAGAGGGGGCGCGCAGTGGTCGCGGGGGCATAGCCGCGGCGAAGAGGGCGCGCGTCGGCGACGTCGAGGAGCTGCTCGCGGGCCAGGGCGGCGCGGTCAAAAATGAGCCGCGGCATCGCAGCGGGGAACGGAGCGATGGGGGCGGAATGCGAGGGGCCGAAGTCGCGGCGAAACCCGGCGGGAGCAGCCGCGCATGGGGAAGGCGGCGCTGGGGCTGGTTGCGCGGAGAAGACGATGGAGGGGCGCGCGGGAATGAGGGCAACGCCGCTTCCGCGCCAGGTTGGGCGCGAGCGGGGGGCGGCACGCGCAAACGACGAAGTGGCAGAGAGAGCGGCGGCGGGGTCGGCCACCTGCGCGACAGGACGGCGCCAGTTGCCTCGCGGAGATGCGGCGGGCGCAGAAAGAAGCGGAGCGCGGCGGCAAGCGCGGCAGAGGCGGGGCCGCGGCGGCCACCGCGGGCGACGAAGCACCCGGCGCAAAGAACAGCAGGGGCCAGATGGAGGCGCAGAGCACAAACATTGAGGAGGGAGGGCCGAGGGGGCGAGCGACGCGCGGCGAGGCGGGAGAGCGAGGATCGGGCTCGAAGCCGAAAGAAGAAGCAGATGAGGCGATTCCTGCGGAAGGCATGCAGGCCGCAGATGACGGGGGACACGAGGGCAGCGCCCGCCCCGCGGTCGCCGTGCAAAGGGCGTTTCATGATGTTGCAGTGGGCGAGGCAGCGAAGGGCCCGCGGATCACCTGGGAACTTCCCATGGCGGCGGCAGCCGCGAGCGCCCGATATCACCCCGCGGTTCTTGCGAGCCTAGATAATCCAACGCGGCCGTGGTCGAGGGCGTTGGCAGTGGATCTGCAGTGGAGTTACCAACGGTCCATGGCGCGCTCGCGGGGCGCGCGTGGTCGTCGGAAGAGGTAGAAGAGTTTGTGCGAGCACGTGCGCCAGGTGATCCGTGAGGTTGCGCAGCCAATCGTGGACTTGGTTCATCCGCTGCAGGAAGACGATGAGATTCGCGTCGCGGCGGCGCGCCGCGAGATCGACTGCATCGGAAGAGAAAGTGCGATAAGGCAAGATCCGTGATTTTCGGTCGGTTGTTTCATGATGTTGGCCTTTTGGGGAGGCCCTGAGGAGGTCCCGAGAGCACTTGAAGCCGCGTTGTGGCCCTCGTCGGTCCTCTCGTAGGCATGTCACCGCTATAGTGAACAATCGTCTGCGTTGAGACATGTTGGGCCCCATTCCGGAGCATCGGAGGCCCTCTTCGAGCCACCTGTGGCAAAAAAAGGACCCTCGAATATATCGCGGCCCGCCCCCCCCCAAAAAATGGGGGACGGGAAGAGGAGGACACCGCTCGCCGAAAGGAAGAGGGCTTGGAAGAGGAAACAAAGAATTCGGTAGACCACCTTACCCTTGGTGGGGTTCACAACACCGAGATCCGAGGCCCCGAAAAAATCGGCGCGGCCCGTTTGGGGATCTGTTCGGCCTCTGGTGGCCTTCAAAGGGCGCTGGGAGTTTGAGAATTGGTTGAACCAGCCCGAAGGAAGTTGTCCAGACCTCCAGGGGCGCACGCAAAAGAACATTGGAGTGCCAGATGTTTTGGGGCGTTGCATTTTTTCGCAGTGGGCGTTTTCACCCGGTTGCGGACCCCATGGGACGGCCTAGAGGGTTCTTGTCGTGATTTTGGTTTGCGATGGCGCAGTTGTTTCGCAACGTCGGATCTCACGGATTGGAGGTGATGCGTCGTTTGCGGCCTACGGAGACTTTTGTGCTGGGCGCCACGGTCGTCCAAAAACTGCTCGCGATGCCGAGCCAGCCACGGAACGCAGCGGGGGCCAGCGCTAAGGGGGGTCAGCCGATCCCCCTCCGAGATCTTTTGGGTGACTTGGGTTTGGGCGCCACCTGGTCCTCCTCCTCCTCCTCATCATCATCCTCCGCCTCCTCCTCCTCCTCCTCCTCCTCTGACTCCGCCTCCTCCCCCCCCACCCGCCCCTCATTGACCCGGATTTGGGCACTACTTCGTGGCTGGCCCAGGTTCGCGACGTGGCCCTGGCTGGCCCGGGTGTGCGCTGACCCGGTCCAGAACGTCCCCGAGGACTTTCGGGCACCCCGCTTCGAAAAGAAGCAAGATTGATGGGCGTGTTTTCCACCACCACCACCACCATAAGTTTGAGGGGGGGTCCTCCTCCTCCTCCTCCTCCTCCTCCTCCTCCTCCTCCTCCTCCTCCTCCTCCTCCTCCTCCTCCTCCTCCTCCTCCTCCTCCTCCTCCTCCTTCCCCCCTCCAACTGATGGTGGTGGTGGTGGAAAACAGGCACATCAAAGATGTCGGATCTCCGGGGCGGGGCCCACGGACTGGTCTTGCCTGCGGGGGCCACAGCGAGCAGCAGCAGCAGCGCGAGGGGGTTCCGCTCCGAGGCGGCGGCCTCGGTCTCGGAAGGGGGCTGTGGTTGCTGCGGGCGTCGCCAGGCGGCGCCCTTCTCGCAGGCCCGCTGCATGTGTCCAGCGTGCAAATCCTACCGCGGGCGGACGACGAGCTACTGCGCTTTGCTGTCACTCGGCGAGAGGACGCTTGCCCACAAAACGGCGACAACAGTGAGCATCCCCCCGATGAGGGCGGTGAGACCGCTCGACAGGAGTGTCCGCCTCACGGCAACACTCGCTGGCGAGTTGGTGGACGACTTGGCTGCCGCGTATTCCCAGGGTTGGTTCCAGGAGCGGGTGCACACGTGTAAGCGCGATTCGGGCTACGAGCACGCCATATTCCTGGCACGGTTGCCGGACCTGGCTCTCCAAGTGCAGGGGCCAGTGTTGCAGAAGTGGGGCTTCGAGCCCAGCATGCACGGCGTCCGCGAGATGGCGGCCGCCTTGCGCAGCCTCACGGACAGTGGGCCTGAGCTGCCCGCCTGGCTGAGGGAGAGGCAGGACCAGTGCCTCGAGCTGTTGCACTTCAGCAAGGCTCGAGGAAGACAAGCACAATCTCTCGGAGACCCGCGCGGGTTCTGCGAATCTGCGGTGAGACCCCCTGGCGGTGCCACCCCTAGCGCGTTCCGCTCGCCAGGGAGGTGGGCCCAGCGCCGATCCAAAAAGTTCTCGCGGAGCTTCGAGTGGTCATGTTCATGTCGTGCCTCTCTCTATTGTGGAGGAAGAGAAGGAGAAGTCCGACCGCAAGGCTAAGCTGCAAGCGGCAGCCGCGATGCAGGTGGCGGCGGAGGATGCCGAGCGCCTGGCCTTGGCTCGGGCCAGTCGCTGCCCGGCGGGCCACGCGCTGAAGAAGCGCTACGCTCCGGCGGCGCCACCGCAGAGAGGCTGCGCTCCCGCTTCCGGCTGCTCTTGCAGCGTGTGTCAGGCGCAAGTGAGCGAAGGAAAATCGTTGCACCGTCATCACCGACACTGGCGTAATCTGTTCGCGTAAGGTCGCGCGTAGGCGCCCTTGTCTCCAGTGTGGCGTGCCGCGCTGGCGGCCCGCGTAGGCCGCCAGGCAAGGTCGCCGTGCCATCTCGCGTTGCGTTTGTTTTCGTCGATGAGGTGAAGCGGGGCGGCGACTTGTGGAGTTGCCCCAGCTGCAGCTTCAACAGGTGATGGGCCTGTTTTCCACCGCCACCACCATAAGTTGGACGGGGGAAGGAGGAGGAGGAGGAGGAGGAGGAGGAGGAGGAGGAGGAGGAGGAGGAGGACCCCCTCCCCCTCCAACTTGTGGTTGCGGTGGTGGAAGACAGGCCCATCCGCAGGTGCCAGAAGTGCGCACCCGTGCAGGAGGAGCGCGGCGCGGGGCGGCCGGCGGCCGGGGAGTGCTGGCCGCACGTGCCGCTGCTCGAGGAGGTGGCGCTGCCAGAGGGGGCGCAGGAGCGGTGGTCAGCCACGCGCAGAGGGGGGTGGGGGGAGGGGGGAGGGCTTCTTAGAAGCGCCCCTGCTTCTTAGGAGGCGCGGGCCTTGTCTATAGATGTGAGGCCGGCGCCTTCTAAGAAGCAGCTTCCTTCTAAGAAGCCCTCCCCCCTCCCTCCACCCCCTTTGTGCGCGCCGCCAAGGTGGGAGGCGAGCGGCGGCACAGAGCTCGACCAGGTGCTCGGGAGCGGGGAAGCTGTGCTGGTGGACGCGTGGTGGATGGTCGAGCCGGGGGAGCAAAGAGTGGCATGAGGATCAAAACTCAAGAGGGAAAGAAACACACAGACACAATTAATCGGCGATTCCCAGAAAATATGGGGAAATATGGAAGTGGGGGGGAAGACAAAAACCCAGAAAATATTGGAAAATATGGGGATATTTTTATTTGTGTGTATTTGTGTGTATTTGTGTGTGTGTGGTGTGTGTGGTGTGTGTGGTGTGTGTGGTGTGTGTGGTGTGTGTGGTGTGTGTGGTGTGTGTGTTTGTGTGTTTGTGTGTTTGTGTGTTTGTGTGTTTGTGTGTTTGTGTGTTGTGTGTTGTGTGTGTGTGTTGTGTGTGTTGTGTGAGTTGTGTGTGTGTGTTGTGTGTGTGTTGTGTGTGTTGTGTGTGTTGTGTGTGTGTGTTGTGTGTGTGGTGTGTGTGGTGTGTGTGGTGTG